TGCCTGAACCATAAATTTTTCCCCTTTTTATTTTATTTTTTAAGTTAAATAAACTAATCAAATTAAAGACTTCACCGGCGCATAAGACCATAACTACAAAAAAAAAATGTTGCTTCAGGCACGGATTTTTCGATGTTGAAACCACAATATCTATTGCTACTAGGCATCACTGATGAAAAATGATCGACCTTACCTCCGTTACTATTTTAAGAGTCGGTGCCAGCAAATTTTCTGTAGGTAAAGGGTAAAATTTTTACCACTTATAATGCAGGCCAAGGCATCAAAGGAGTGATTAGTGCAGGCTTAAGCCCTAAAAGGCATGACTCATGTGAGTCTGGGTGTAAAAGGTGCGCACCTTTTTATTTTTTATTTTTTAAGTTAAAGTAAGGAAAATAAACTAATCAAATGAAAGAATAATTATTGGATAATCTTATAATACATAAAATAATATTAAAAAACAAGAAAACGCATTATTTGATCTAGACTTCGCCGGCACACAAGACCATGCATCACTACTGGCCATCCTCACTCTCATGGCATAGTTGAGATCTTCATTTGGTAATCTCAGGGCCTCTAAGAGTCCCCGTATGGTCCATTCTCTTGTAGGGAAGACGGAAGGAATAGCACGATTAGTTACTTCTTGAATATTAAAAAAATAATAATAATAAAAATCTCAATCGTGGCGAGGAATAGGAAGGAATGGCAGGCAAGTCTTACGAATGAGATGCCCACTCAAGGACATCAATTTTCATTAAGCCAAGCAGGAACAAAGTGACGGAAGTCTTCACGACGCACACCAAAACTTGTAAGGCTTGAAGCTTGACCCTACCTCTTTGCAACGCCTTAAAACATTTTAAAACCTTGAATTACTGCTATATATTTCAATTCTTGTTACTGCTATATTTCAATTCTTGGCATCACACATCATAATAATAAATTCCAGCTATTCATTAATCGCTTGTGTCATATTTTCCACAAATATTAGATAGTAAATGAATAGCTTTATAAAAAAAAGTAAATATGTTGTTCGTTATACTATCAAATCAATACCAAACATGCACTTGATATGAATGACACTATAATTTTGTGGAATTTGTTATTGCTTAAACAAATTCTCGCTTTCTGGTTTATGATCTCTGTCGACGCTCCGGAGGACTTTCAACATCCCGGCAAATGTTACTGCTCCAACCAAAGTATGGTCCTCTCCCACAACCCAAACACAGCTCACCCTATGTGCAAGTGCTTGGATCATCACAGCAACTAAAGAACTCCTTGGATTGCACAAAATCGCCTCAGAACTCCTCGCAGGGAAATACCGCCCTGCCTTGCCATGCCTACTCGAACCCAAACCAGACACGGAACCGAACTCATCTTCGGAAGAAC